CTCATTTAGTAAAAGTTACAAACACTATGGCTAAAAGGACCATATTAAGTAATTCACTGCACAGCATTAGTAAACTGTTCTTAAATAGTTCTTGCACTAGCATGGTACAAGATACCATTTCTCCACCATCTTATTAGTATCTGATATGTCACTTAAATTTTTTTGCCAATGTGATGGATGACTTAAAAAGGCATCTCATTGCTTTTATGGCATTTCCTGTATTACCAGTAAAGTTAAGAATAGTGATGTTTATTGTCAAGATTTATTTTCTTGATTTATCTGTTTATGTTCTTTGCTCATTCCCATCCTCCTACCCCCAGTTGGACACTATTCCTTCATAAAATGAGGCATTTAAAGCAAAAATCTTAAGGATTATCTAAGTCACTTCCTTCACTTTTTAATTTGATTTTATAAATATTTTATTGTGTTTTCAGTGAAATGTTTACACAGAAAATTAGGTTCCTATGTAACAATTTCTACACAAACTGTTCAGTGACATTGGCTACATTTTTCACAAAGGGTCAACACTCTCATTATTTCTGTTCTGGTTGTTCCATTTCCAGCAATCTAGTTTCCCTGCCCCCTTACCTTCTCAACTTCGCTTTAGATTAATTGTTGACCATTTGATCTAATATAGATGATTTTTTAGAGTGCAGTACTCACGGATGATATTCTCTATTTTATGAGCCAATCTCTTATTTAGCTAAGTTTCCCTCTTTTAAGGATAGGGACTAAAGCCCAGAGAGGCTAAAGGCTTATTCATGATCATATGCTGAAACAAGGCAGTGGCCATGCCTGGGTTACTATGGGGCTCTCTAGATCAGCAAACCAACGTCCTTTCCACTACTCTATACTTCCTTACCAGAGGGAAAGAGCCAATAGCCAAACTTAAGGCTAAGAATATAATGAAGGGTCTAGCTTAGACTCAGATGTTATAATGATCTTAAGTTTTAATTGCTTAGTCAACAAAGACTCTAAGAGAATCCAGTGTGTACTAAAAGAGGCAACCCCAGCTCCCTGTTCACCAGATGAGATACATCTTGGCATGGGAGTAAATAAGTCCTGCACTATCTGTCATTCCCAGATGTCCAGAGAGCACATCCCAGAAGGAAGCCCTGGCCCACACCATTGGGAGACAGGGGTGAAAAATGCCTAGTGGCCCCATATGCTCCACTTTCTTCTTCCTTCATGAGAGTACCAGGGATACTCCTGTGATATCTCACCCTGGTTTACCTTGGTCACTAAAAATCACCTACCTTCTCCATATTACTCTGATCTGTCTCTTTGTTCCCAAACCCCTGAGGTCTGCTCTGGAACCCAGAATCTACTACCAGCAAGTACCCCTATTTATATCCTCAGCGGATTTTACAACAGAAATAGCTGTCCCCTGCAACTCTCTTGAGTGGAAGTCATTTAATCTTTTATATCTCACACTGTGTGGTAGTTCAGTTTGCGTGTCAACTTGGCTGGGCCTGGTTGAGTGGCTGGGCAGCTGAATGTAGCAGTCCCCATGATGTGACTAGAAATCAACTCCATAGTGGAACCTATTATGAGCAGCTGAGTAGCTGCCTTAGGGATGTGGTCTGCTTCCTGTATATAAGAAGCAGCCTTGGGAATGGTCTCTAGCTTATGGCATGCCTGAACCCTGCATGTAGCCGTGTCATTCAGCAGCCTGCCATGCTCTGCCAGCCTTGGGACTAACAATGGACTTGAATTAATGGCCTGCTGTGTGGTTTGGTAACATTGGGACTATGCCTTTTTACTTGTCAACCTTAGGCTTGTCAGTCTCAGCAGCCAGCAGCTGTCTGAGTGAAGAAAAGCCTCTAGCTTCAGTGGGCTGGGAGCAGGAAGCAGAGCTGAAGCCCAAGGTTGAGGGGCTTTTACCCAACCCCTAGAGCCTGGCACTTTGAACTTGGACTTAAAGCCTCCAAACTAAGAGAATAAACTCCTGTTTCTTCAAGCCATCCCATTTGTCGTATATTTTTGTCAGAGCGGCACTATGTAACCAGAACACACTGCAATGCCTACAATGTATGTCTTCCTGTCTTCCTTTTTATCTCTATTGTTATCACCATTCTTGCACACTTCAACATTCTAAAGATCTAGCCAACTTCTTGGTCTCTCTTGGTTTCTTTACCTTCTCAGCTTCAATGACCCTGTCCTTCACTCCATCTTAGCCAACTTCTCCTAGTCATTCTGTATCATCACAACAAAGGCACTGCCTCTGAGATCTTGTTTTCAAGCATCCCACTCTGATTCCCACCTCCTCTCCTTTCTGCCCACTCATTCTAATATGTCCACCCAGTAATTTCTTCAACTTTATTAAGATGTCCAACTCATTGACCTTCCTACTTTTTTACTATCTATCATCACCTGTCCCTCATGTCCTCCTGGATTCTACATTCTATCACTATAATCACTGCTTTGTACAGACTCTGCCATCTCTCTCACGCCCTCAAATTCCTTGATAAAATCTTAGTACTGATTAAATCCACTGAGCCACCTCCTCCATGTCTGCACCCGAGCTGGTGAATGGTCCTGGAGAAAGACACATGCCACGTTGACTGGTTTAGCTTTAAATCTATGCTCATGAATAACAAACAAGCATGTAACTGCTTCCAACACCTCCCTAGAATGTTTACTCATTTTATTTTCCAACTACTTCACACCATCTCTCCACAAATTTCCTATGTTCTCTCTTCCCTCTTTACTCTTAGCTGATGATCTTGTCTTATATTTTACAGAAAAAAAAATAAAAAGTAATCAGACAGGGACTTCCTCATAATTCACTACTAAATCTGAATACATAGTCTCTGCTTTCCCTCCTACAGAAGCTCTGGTGGCTTAGCGCCTAAGGCATTTGACTGCTAACCAAAGGGCTGGCAGTTCAAACCTCAGAAGGAAGACTGGGCAATCTTCTTCTGTAGACATAACGCCTCAGAAACCCTCGGAGGGGTTGCTATGAGTTGGATACAACTTGACAGCAATGAGTTTGGTTTCCCTCCTATGAAAATAGATGAAGTATTTTTATTTCTGTCTATAGCCAATTCCTCCATTTATATACTGGATCACATTCCTCTTAGCTGCTCAAAGACTTCATCCTACAATTACCACCTCTCTCTCCTGCATTGTCAATTGTCCCCTTCTACTGTCGCATTCCTATCAACATGCTAACTCATTCTACTGTCCCCCATCTTACCAACTACCTGATATGTTCTTATTTGTTTGTTATTACCTTACTCCTCCTACAAGACTGTTTGTAGGCACCTTGTTCAACAATATACCCCTAGTACCAACAAACCTTTAAATAAATATATATTTATATTATTGTTGTTGTTGTTGTGTGCCATCGAGTCGGCCCTGACTCATAGTGACCCCTCCTTGGGTTTCCAAGGCAGTATCACTACGGAAGTAGATTGCCCAACCTTCCTTCCGAGGAGTAGCTGGTGGATTTGAACCGCCAGCCTTCTGGTTAGCAGTCAAGGGACTTAGGCACTATGCTACCATTTATATAGATATAAAATTGTGTTTTTGGTGGAAGTTCACCAGCACATTAAGTTCCCATCGAACAATTCCCACACATATTGTTCGATGGCGTTGGTTACGTTTTTCACAACGTGTCAACATTTTCATTATCTCCATTCTGCCTCTTCTACCTCTTTTAATCCTGTTTCCTTGTCCGTTCTTATCTTCTCACCTTTGCTTAAGGGTTTGGTCTCATGTAGACAATTTTTTTAAAGGAGCACAGTACTCATGGGTGATATTATTTACTTGCCAATCTGTTACTTAGCTGAAAGGTGACCTCTGGGAGTTTTTAGTTCCCACTAAACTTTATGATTTGGTCTATTCTGGACCGAATTGTGAAGCCATACCAATGAAGTTAAAATGCTTTATTAGACACTAGGAGCTCTGGTAGCATAGTGCCTAAGGCATCTGACTGCTAACCAGACAGATGGCAGTTCAAACCCATCAGCCACTCCTTGGAAGGAAGGAAGATTGGGCAATCTACTTCTGTAGTGCTACCACCTCAGAAACCCACGGAGGGGTTGCTATGAGTCGGATCCAACTCGACGGCAGTGCATTTATGATTTCTGAAAGAACACAGATCCATTCACCACTTATTTTCATGTCTACTTTGATAACATTTGGTTTTACTATTTGTTTAAAAGGGTAAAGCATAATAAACTTGAGGGGTATTTTTTTTTTAATCCAGTTTCAGACAATGAACTCAATTACACAACCAGAAAAATAATGCGTTTTTTGTTAGAGTTTCTTCCTAACCAATATAATCATTTTTGTACTGTCTAGGCTAAGCTCTGCTAATTAGAGCAACAGCTCTTTAGTAGATAAATATTTTATACATGTCCTTGCAAAATGAACAAAACTAGGCTAGACTAAAATCATTTTCACAGATTTCAATGTCAAACATGAGATATGAAGTTAGACAGCCAGCATTCATATTCCTGCTTTGATTGTGTGACCTGCAATAAGTTACTGGACATCTCTTTTCCTGCCCACAACATAAGGTTGCAGGGAGGATTAAATCAGTGAATATACACAAAGCTCTTAGAGCACACTGCAGGATGCTCAATACATTTGTGGTTGTATGTTTGGCCAGTTGGTTCCTACTCATAGCAACCCCATACAAAAGAATAGAACTACCCCATAGGGTTTTCTAGGCTGTAATCTTTATGAGAGCAGATTGCTGCTGAATTCAAATCGCTGACTTTTCTGTTAGCAACTGAGTGCTTAACCACTGAGCCACCAGGGCTCCTTGCTCAGTACACGCTAGCTATTATTTTATTCTGCTGCAAGAAGGAGAAATCTCACATGATCAAAGCAAGTAACATTTAGTAACTGAAGTTAGATCTCTGGAACTCTGAGACCTTGGGGTTGGGGGCAGCCATCATCACTATTTTGCAAAAAGAATAAATAACAAGTCCATGAACAAAAGGGTGGTTTCCCATTGAGCAAATTGAGAGAAAATTGCCAGGCCTTACCATCCATGCTGCCAAGAGACTAGTTGTATGCAATAGGGAACTTCAATGGAGGATCCAGTGCCTAGGAGAATAACACAGGATCTTTGCTGTATGGAATCAATATTAGAAAAGTCACCCTTGACTTTGTCTCTCACAACCCATATCCAATACATCAACAAATCCTGTAATTCACCCAGACTCCAACCATTTCCCATTCTCTCTTTTTCTACCACCACCATCTCCCTTGTCCCCTTTCACAGTCTTCGAACTATGGTTATAGAAACTCTGCTGAGATGCAGAGTACTTTATACAATTCTGGATTACATGGATGAATTAAACTGGGAACAGGAATGATTGAGGCTGGTCAAAAATAGGGCTATTACCTCATTATACAGTAAACACTGTAACACATTACCCATAGCATTTTAGTGTGTGATTTTACTTAGTTGCAGTCTTATCAGTATTTTGACTCAATATTAGTTAGCAAAACTCAGAGGGGGAAAAAAATTCATTGCAACAGCTAATTAAAACAAATTCATATCATTCTGTGCACTTTTTTTTTAATTTTAAATAATTTTTAAAACTGCAAGTAAGAAGAAGTGTAAAACTTTCTACGTTATTATTTAACTTGGAGTCCCTGGGTATTGCAAATGGTTAAGGCATTTGGCTGCTAACTGAAAGACTGGAGGGCCCAGTCGACTGCACTCAAAAGCACCTTGGAAGAAAGGCCTGACAATCTACTTTTGAAAAATCAGCCACTGAAAACCCTAACAAAGCAGTTTTACTCTAACACACATGGGGTCACCATGAGTCAGGGACTACTCCACAGCAACTGGTTTTTATTATTTAACTTATATAACCAAACCAAACCCATTGCCACCGAGTCAATTCTGACTCATAATGACCCCCATTGGGTTTCCAAGGCAGTAAATCTTCACAGAAGTAGATTGCCTCATCTTCCTTCTCTGGCGCAATTGGTGGTTTTGAACCACCAACCTTCTGTTTAGCGGTCAGATGCCGTAGGCACAAGCCACCAGAGCTCCCTTTAACTTATATGTTGTTGTTGTTGTTGTTATGTGCCTTCGAGTCGGCCCCGACTCATAGCGACCCCCTCCTTGGGTTTCGAGGCAGTATCACTACGGAAGTAGGATTGCCCAACCTTCCATAATATGTGACCTTGGTAACTGTAATGTAAAGGTTATTAATTATGGCGCTTTCTAGTTATTCAGGAAACATTTCCATGGATCCCATCGTGTGCTCCACAGTGCGTTATCTAACGCGGAATACATTAGCTCCTAAGCTTCCAGAGGGCTACAAGAAAACTGTCTTGTTCATTTCACTCATCTCAGTAATGCACTTAGGAAAAATCCAGAATTCCCCAGCTTCCAGGTGGTATCTTCTTCCCTTTCTGCACTTAGGCCTCCGACCCAGAGCGCGCACCCCACAGACCCCACTAAAGCCAGGCGCCATCCCTGTTCTTCCTGAGGTCGCCCCCCACGGCAGCCCAATTCCAAAGTCTCCCCACTTGAACCACTAAAGGCGCCGCACTACTCGCCATAAGACTACAGCCCTCCTCAGAGATTCTCTAAAATCTCCCACACACAGCCGTGGCAGCCCCTTCCCCACCTTAGCCGGAGGGCCACCCAGATCCCCAGAACCCGCGCTTATTACCGTGTTCAGGCACCCCTTCACTTTCTAAAGCCAAACGCGCCAAAATTCCAACTCGACTCCACCCTGTCACTGACGTCAGACGCAGCCTGGCCTTGGGGCAGCACTGATTGGCTCCGTCAGCGCTCTCTGGAAAGATGACTAGGGAAAGAGCGAAATCCTGCCCTTGTGTCGAGCAATCTGATTGGCTTACGTAATTGGGCGCCCTCTTTGTTAGGGGAAAGAGGACTTCCATCGTTGAAGTCCTAGGCTTCTTTGGGTAGTGTTATGGCGCCTCCTAGCGCCAAGCTCTGGTGGTGTAATGCCAAAAGCGTTTGGCTGCTAACCAGAAGGCTAGCGAATCAAACCCACCGGCCACTTCTCGGAAGGAAGACTGGGCGTTCTACTTCCGTAGAAATACTGCCTTGGAAACCCAAGAAGGGGTCGCTGAGTCGGGACCGACTGGAGGGCTGTGAGGTTTTTTTATGGTATTTTTATGGGAGGTTCAAACTCAATTCCAGACTGAGTGATCTGGGTCCCATTTTCTTTATGAGGTGGAGGGTTAAGCTTGAAGCAGAGAACCCTGGACATTTACACTTACTGCGAGGCACGGTTCAAAACGTGTCCCTTGCCCTCACGAATTTCCTATGGCTGAACTTAAATAGAAGCTTGAATAATCTGGTTGACTGTTCCACTTAGCTTTGCCAATCCTGTGTTCAACTGAGGTGTATGGACTAAAAACCAAAAACTGATCCACTTTTGGCTCTGTCTGACTTTGGGGAAGTAACTTCTCTTTTAGATTTATGCTTTATTATCTGTAAAATGGAGGAAAGGGCTAGAAGGCATTGTTTCACACAACAGAAACCAGTTTCAAGAATTATTGTACCCCCCAAAAAAAAAAAAAAAATTAAACCCACTGCCAAGGAGTTGATTCCATCTAATAGTTGAGAATTGTCACTGATATCAGAGCTGAGAATAACTTATCAGAAGATCATATTTTTCACAATGTATATTTTACTAAAATCCCTCTTTACATATTTACATCCTAAAAACTGTTTTTTACATAACACTGAGTGCAAAATCATACATTTAGCCTATACATAATTTCAAAGTCCACAAAGCACAAGAGTTTTTGATGGAGCAAATGATCATTTCAAATCTTTTTTTCTCACACTGCATTCTCTTGCTAATAAGACATTTTATATAAGATAGTATCTCTATCCACTGTGTCTACCTTCATTTTAAGAACAATTAAAATCTGCTTGAAGATGACTGGGAAACAAACAGTCCTGGTGCCATCTGCATTGATTTTTGTGTGTCCCAATGGAGATTAATGCTCCATTTATGAGCTTAGCCCTATTATCTAAGCCTAGTATGTTGACCCTGGAACAAAAACTGCTGGTGTTGAAACATCCACAGTAATGGAGGAACTACAGTAATCAAATTGAAAAAAGGGGTTTAAATGCATCACTACATCTAGTTATAAAAGTTTATCATAGATACATTCTTAGCCATTATGCAGATATCCCTTGATCAATTCTGATTAGTATTCTGAAGTTCTCGTCTTCCCCTTGCCTTTCCAGGTCCTCTTTGCATCCAGTTCCATGTAAGAAGTAGGAAACAGTATCACTTCAAGCCCTGAAACCTTCTTGGAGTGAGGGACCAAGCAATCATGATTAGAATTAGTATAGTGACACCAGAATTGGAGAAGTGGAGGTGATTTTGAGAAAGAGTTAGGAGAACAGATTCAGAACCTATTGACAAGAGGGATATGAGGAAGAGAGAAAGGGAGGGAGGGAAGGAAGGAAGATCAAAGAGAGGTTAAGAGAAAGATGTCTAGAATGACTCAGCTTTCTTGTTTGTGCAATTAGGTGGATTTTGAGGCAATGCACGGAAGTGGAGAACACAGGAAGAACAGGGTTAGGGGAAAAGATAGATTTAGTTCTGGATTTCAGAATGAGATGTGTGAAATGCTAAGAAAAGTCCAGTGGTCTGCTGGATCTCTAGACCTGAGTTCTGAGTGTCATCAACATAGATATGAATGAAATCTGAACAAAGCATATACACTGCAGTCATTCTTAGCCTTTTTTTGGGGGGAGGTGTGTCTTTGTTATCTAGGGGTACTATAACAGAAATGACACAAGTGGATGGCTTTAACAACCAGAAGTTTATTTTCTCACAGTTAAAGAGGCTAGAAGTCCGCATTCAGGTTACTGGCTCTGGGAGAAGGCTTTCTTTCATTGTCGGCTCTGGAGGAAGGTCCTTGCCTCTTCTCAGCTTCCGTTCCTCAGTTCCTTGATGATCTTCATGTAGTGTGGCATCTGTCTGTCCCCATCTCGGCTTAATGGGGGCAGATAGATGCCATACCACATGAAGATGCTTAATTTGCCATTTTATATCTCAAAAGAGACTGAGTTAAGACACATCCTCTGCTAATACTGGGTACTTAGCATACAAAGAAAACCCATTCACAAATGGGATTACAACCACAAGTATGGGGGTTAGGATTTACAACACTTATTTTTGGGGAACACAATTCAATCTGTAACAAAAGCATATGTGATCATAGACCTTTTTGAGAATATAACGAAAATGACAGCTTCTTTTCCTAGACAAATGCACACTCATCCAATCAAGATTTTGTATATCTTTTCAGGGCGTTCACATATTTATAGATAAATCTCCAAATTAAGAACCTCTGATATAGAAGACCAGAACTCTGGGGACCACAAATGCTGACGGGCAAACATCTGAGGTAAAGCAAGGGGAGCCAGATATTGCCGAGCAGGAAAACAGTACCACCCTTAGACAGAGGCAAGAGAGTGCCCTGCCCTTCCCTGAATCTCACCTGGCCCTGCTTTGGTCCTCTTCTAACTGTAGCCCTCCCCACAGGGTGAGGAATCCCAAGGCCAAGGGACTTACCCATCCAAATCCTAGGCAACTCCTTGCAGCTGAAGCTCTAGCATTGGAACTTCATTTTCCTCCCATCCAAATGGTCCCAAGCCTGCTTCTAGCACCTCTGTGAACCTTTGCCCTGGGTGTCTTTCTAAGGGTGAATTCCCAGGTCTAAAGGGAAACTAAAGGATGATTGTTTGGTGGTGGTTGTAGGGGAGGGGGATATGGGAGCTTGGACAGCAGCATGGGGTATCCACACACTTAGTTAGGAAGGAGGCTCCCAAGTGCAGTGCAGAACTGAGCCCAGGGTGGGAAAAGAAGCAGGTTTAAGGGGCTGCAGTCCACTTCTCAAGCAGCCATGTGTCAGTTTGAAGTTCCAAAGAGACTGTTAATTTTATCTATAAACTTTTTATACATAGGGTGTTTGTATTCTTGCCCAGAATTTTTTTCAGTGCAAGGGGTGTGCCTAAAGGCAAGTGATGGCAC